ATGTATCCATTACACAAGTCGAGTATGTAGATCGAGATTAAAAGAACCGGTAACCCGAGCGAAACGTTTCAGTAGAGGCGACTCAATTGGCCACGCGCTGATCCTCTTGTTTCACCAGCGTTACGTATTCTGCGCGATGCTTCTATGACCTTCTTCGCCTTCTTCTTTTTCGTACACGGAGAGAATTTTCGCTTGAAATTTAGCCTGGAAATCATGTGACAACATGGCATTTTGAAGTACTTTGCGAGAGTTTCTCGAAATATATTTTACTAGTGAAGTGTATGACGACATTTCAAAAAACTCTCATAAGATTCTTCGAAATGCCGTGTTGTCCTACGATTTTCAGGATACAATTTAAAAGAAAATTCTCTCCGCGTGGAATTTCTATTTTTGAGATCGTAGTGCCATACCCAATCGCGCAGGTGATCGAAATGAGCTCCAAAAGGGTTCATTCACTTTTTTAAATTCTTACGAATCAGCATAATCCGTTTAAAGCCAACGGCACGCGACACTATTTTTTTTACTACTAAATTGCTTCTGAGAGCCAATAAGGATGCAGAGTTTTCAGATCAGGTGACTTAAAATTGAATCCTGATTGGTTCCCGTAAGCAATCCAGTAGGATAAACAGTATCGTGTGCCGTTGGCTTAAGATGAATTCAAAAGAACGAGGATTTCCACAGAAGCATGAAAATATATATTTGACTTGTTGCGAAAGTAAATTTTAAAGCTGCTCCGAATACGAAGAATTTCTTTCGTATTCGAAAGGGAACTCGGAATTAATGATATAAGAGCGAATTCTTGCTGGACTCTTAAGAATTTTTCTTAGAAATGAAATGGGGAAAGGATTTCACTTCTCCGCAATTCGGGGATTTGGGGATAAAATTCTTTTGGATTCTCCGCGCTATTTGTTTTTTTTTTTTACGGCCCGAGAGAATGTAACGCGCGCGAAAGCGCATCCGAAACGGAGGAGATTCTCCCGTAATGCACGCGGCATTGTTTGCGGTAAACAAACAAGATTCAGTGATCCTTATCAATGCCCGGGGGGGGGGGGGAGGGGAGATACTTTCGGTAGCACTGCCGCAGAGAAGTGAGATCCGCGGGGAGATTGTTATCGCAGATGCAGCTTCCAGAACCGGTGCGCCAAGTTGATGCGGATCACGATGACAAGCTGAGTAATCGAATAACGGCGGATAATATTATTACCGAGGGCAGACGCTTTATTAATTCGCGGTGCACCGTGCGCGACCGCGACGGTAGATAAGCAAATTAAAAGTGCGCCGACGGCATTACGAAAGAATTCGAACGGGAGTAACGGCGCGGGAGGCGCCAAAGTGTTAAATTTAAACGTTGCGCAAAATTTACGGCGCCAACGAAAGACGGCCCCGTCTTGCCCGCGGATAGAGAGACGATTGGAAGAGGTGGCAGGGAAAATTGCTACGTCCGATGAGGAAGATACGGTGGGTGCGGCGTTTCCGTTCCGGGATGGATAAAAGTTGTGACGTAATGCTGCTGCGATTTAAATGTGCAGCGTTACGTTTGCATTGTTCTCATTTCAACATGCGTTTAATTAGACGGCATCCCTAGCGGCACAGCTTATTGGCTAAACATTGGCCGAATGTTGGTCCAATGTTGGTTATATTAGAAATGCATCGGCCGATATTGTTCAACGTAAAGACCAATATTGGCCATGCAACAAATGTAAATGTTGCACGATAATAATTATAATATTAGACTTATATTGGAAGTGCATTGGCCAATATTTAACAATGTAAACACAATATTGGTCTAATATTGCATCAATATTGCACCAATATTAGACCAATATTGCTAAATAGACATATTGGTTAAATAAGAAAAGTCGTCCATCTTACAATATTGGACCAATATTGAGAATGCTAGATTTACATTATTTCCCAATATTGCGCCAATATATTATGCTACTAGGATCAAATTCGATCTTGAGACACTATACGGTCGGTTTGTTGATTGAACAAAGCCTCGTGCCAGACCTAAAGACAATATTGGTCCAATGTTGGTTATATTAAAAATGCATCGGCCGATATTGTTCAACGTGAAGCCATTATTGGTCATGCAACAAATGTAAATATTGTACGATAATAATTATATAATATTAGACTTATATTGGAAGTACAATGGCCAATATTTAACAATGTAAAAACAATATTGATGTAATATTAGACCAATATTGCTAAGTAGACATATTGGCTAAAGAAAAAGCGTCCATCTTACAGTATTGGACCAATATTGGGAATACGAGATTTACATTATTTCCCAATACTGCGCTAATATATTGTGCTATCAGGGTACGTTACTATATCTGTGTTATTTTTACTTCAATATATATTTAAACATTATCCCAACTTCGGACAGATGCAATAATAATTGTAATGTTTTTCAATATAGCGATAAACTTCATTACTTTATTTTGCGTTTCACTGTGCGATGTTGAGAGTTAAATAAATTGATGATAAATTCGTGAAGCGCAAGCTCTTGCCGAAGTTGATTTAATTCGCCGGAAGAAAGTACTTTAACGTCCGACATCAAGCGCTTCCGTGATTAGACCTTCCCTAAAATACGCGCCGAGAATAAATCAACTTCGCAAGGTCGTTGAAAAGTTTACGCAGGCCGACGCGTTACGAGGGAAAGGCGCAAAACCTTTGGAACACTTGGTGTTCCACAACAATTCGGACACTTTCGAATAATCGTGCGCGCTTGATCGAACAGGTATTGTCGACCCGGGTCGCCTTCGACAGGCGCGCGAGGAGAAAAAGCACGAGCGGAAAAAAAGCCGGGCCTGGAAAAAGAGTCGCGGGAGAAGGACACTTGGCGAAAGCGAGATGTCAAGTCGGCGGTGCCGGCGCGGTCCGTTTATTTATTCGGTATTTCCTCGTTGTGCAACGATTCTAATCGCCAATTATCGTCGTCGTGAACGAGCGGGAAGAAAAAAAAAGAAAAAAAATCACCAGCGGTAACACAACGACCGTCGCTGTTTCGCGTGTCGACGCGACGAACGAACGAACGAACGGATTGTCCTTCGTCGTGCGAAAGTTTCATTCGTGCAACACGGATAGAAACTTTCCACTCTCGTGATCGGCTCATGATCGTACCGTCGCGCAATCGCGAAGTCGTCGAAAATATATCGAGTGTGCAATAGAATCGCGCGCGGACTTATTATTATCCCCGTCCCGCAATCGGGGCTCGTCGCTGTAAAAAAAGATCTCCGCTCCGAGCTCCGCGCGTACGAGTGATTTCAATTGTTGCACCGACCCCTGAATCGGCGTGTAAAACTATCCCGCGCGTCGTCTCTAAAATGTAATTCGTGCAAATTGTTCCGTTACGCTGTTCAGCAAGAAAAGAAATGCACAAAGAACGATCGTTTCCCCGCAGTTTCTTTTTACGCTCATCCCCGTTCGCCAAATTGCTTCGTCGCGTCAGTTTTGAAAAATTTGCGGTTGAAGCTGCAAAAGGGGCTACTTTTGTATTTTTTTGTGACTATGATCGTGTGATGTCTTAAAGTTTAAATGAAAAAGGATTTTTTTATTGAACGATGTTGTTGAAATAATTTTCATTTATATTTAGCATTCTTGTTAGCACTATCTTTTCTTGCATTATGCACGCATAGATAAACCCTCTAATATGTACGCAGTAGATGTGCGCGCACTGTTTTCACAAATTTATGCGAAATGTCGAAAGCCACGTCAACTTTTGACGAGCGAAAAGAATGAAACGTGACAAATTGCGAGAGACATATCTCGTTTTGTATACAAACTTATTTTCTTTCATATAAATCTAATGTCACACGAATGTTGTTGCCACGTTGTGGAAAACTTTCAACATTTTTAAGCCCTCTATTTAATATTCTAAGTTATCTTAGAGAAACGTTGCCCGTTGTGTACATAAACCATTCGCCAAGAAAATTTGCACAAATTGTTCCAACTGCTTTGTAATATGCGATCAGACTTAGGCCCGGTTTCACGTTGTTCAACTTTAAGTTTAGCTAAATTCGTTCTTTGCCTCTTTTCAACTGTTACTTTAGAAAGAGACAAACGTGAAACTAAGATTAAAGTTAAACGACGTTAGGTGACACCGGGCCTTAAACGCACAACTATTAAAATTTACTTCGTAACTTTACTTCGAGCAACAATTTTTATCTTTAACATTTCTCGCGATAACATTTTTAAAAATACAATGTACACTACCGCGAGAGACACTACCGTGCCTCTTGATGTTTCTCGGGAAAAAGTAGTTATTATCGAAACCAATTTGCATTTTTAAAGCACCGTTTACGCCTCAGGATCTCGGATTCCGCTGCTTTTACCGTCGTGAAAGGAGAGGGAAACGATGTTTACAATTGTATACCGGCAAGGTGCTCTGTTCGCGCAAAGTAATTTCGACGATAACCTAGCGTGACGGCAAGAACTCGCTGAAGAAATAGAAGAATGTGTCGCGAATCATCGAGGAATATCCTCTCCCTCTTGCCTGCTCTCTCCCTTAGCTCGTAATAAACGGCAGAGAACAATCCGCGAGCGCTTAAGACAGTCTTAAGTTGTAAGTCTATCGTGTACGGCTTAAGTTTTTCTCTACCTTGCCTTACGTCTACGACTAAGACGGTCTTAAGCCCAACTATTAATTCAGTCACGGAATCTCGGGTGTAAGACCGATGGCAGATGACGATCCGTAAACGCTCCAGACTGTCCTAGTCCTAGACGTAAGGCAGAGAGAAAAGCAAGCCGTGAAAGGCTATTGTATTACTTACGTCTACGACTAGGACAGTCTTGAGCGTTTACGAGTCGTTCTCTGCCGTCAGCCTTACGCTCTAAAAATCGTTACGTCGCACGGACAGTTTAAATTTCTCCTCGATCGGAGCGGTAAACACACACGCCGCGTTTTTCACATTTAAAGTCCACCCCTTAACGTGAAGCGACGCGCCCCTTAACGAGAAGCGACGCGCCCCGACACCCGGCGTTATCTCACTCACCGTGCTCGATGTAAATCCCAAATTGTCATGCGACATCCTGGGGGTCCGGGATGTACCGCTGGTTGTTGGATGTTAAGTCACCTCGACGGGTGGTCGCATGCGACAGGCGCGCAACAGGAGTGGGATAACAAGTACCAAGGGGGTGGGGAGCAAAAGGGCGAAGGGCGAAGCTGGGGACTGGCCAGGCGGGAGCGGATAAAAGAAACAGAGAGAGCGAGAGGGGGGGAAGATAAGAAAAGGCGCGGGTCAAGACGATTTAATCTCTAGAGGTCCGTTGCATCGTGTGCCGCGACAGGTACGGCCGCTGCAAGTCGACTGGCTTGACTTAGCGCGAAGTATTATTTATATAGCATCGCGCCGCGCGGAATGTGTATGTGTGTGTGTGTGTGTATGTGTGCGTCAGCGCTCCGCGGTACCGTTTCGGTATCGGTATCGTTTCGGCGGGGCGAGGAGAAATCCGCGGCGCGCGTGGTGCTCGTCGCTCATTCAGCCGCGCAGCCGATTGACGGCGGCGCCGGCACGCGCGAGCACGTGGTCGTCGCACCTTGAGGTGGTCGCGACCCGCGCGTGCCGTCATCGCCGATCGGCATCGCGGATCCGCGGCGGCGCGACGCGCATCCGAGGGCGAGCGTTCAAGTCACCGGACTCGGGGGAGTCACCCACCTCGCGTTCGTATTCCCTGCGCGCGTGTAAACCTCGACGAGTGTCATTCTGCAGCGTAAGAATAAGAGCCTGAGCAGAACGGGTGTCTTATACTCTTAAGACAGCTTCGAGACAATGTTTCATGTTTTAAGCGAGGGGGCAGACCGCCGAGAGCAGAGTGTGGTTGTACAGATTTGCGGCATTACTGCGCATTACATACACTGAAAAGAAAATTGTCGCCACCGTAGCAAATCATGATTTGCTAAAAATATTTTGCCGCCTTAACTATAAATTTCTAAGCCACAACACGGTTCGCCATCGCATCTAATGCAATAGGCACAGTAGCAAAATATCTATCACATTTACAACTGAAATTTAGTTGCCGCATACAGTGTTTAACTACGGTAGCTTCCCGTGTAGACATTATTAGGCATTTTTTGGACATTAGTTTGGGCATTAGGCCTTGCCGGGACATTATAAAGATAAAATAAGATAATAAGATAAATACTACAATTTTAACTTAGGTCCTTAAGATATAAAATCAATTGGAAAATGAAGAGGCCGTTTAGGACCGGGCATAGGTGTAAGTAAGGAATAATAAGATAAAGTAATGCCCGCTGGACATTAGTGGGCATTGGTGTACAAGATTTTGATCAGCGGTTTCCCACTCGGTTTTAAGCCTTTATCTTGAAATAATGCACAATAACTGTCTTATGTCTTAAGAGTACAAGACAGCCATTCTGCTCAGGCCCTTGGGCTAATATTACATCTGTCGTACGACAAATTTTTCAAGCGTGTCGATTGGCCACAGTATGGAAAAGTTCTCGAGTCTAGAAATTATCTATTCCGCGGCCAATCGACACGCTTGGAAAGCTTATCGCGTGACAAATGTAATATTAGCTTAAGCGCGACACTTCCGCGCTCGCTTGACAGATTGATTATGGCGCGTTAGCGGCGCTTCTCTATTTTCTCAAGCCCTTGAAAGCTTTCGAAAGAGCGGAGAAAATCCATTTCAATCGTAGCAACGCGAATGAGGCTTATGAAGCTGCGCACAAGGATATTGCGCGCACTTGTCCTGTATTAGTCTCGCCTGTTTTACGTTTGTGTAGAAAAAATTTTGAAGGATTTCTCCTCGAAGCAGCTAGATGTAAAAATACAGAGACATTTTCATGGTACGTTAAATGTGTAAAAATATGAGGGTCGTTGATTTCGCGATTATCTTTAAATGATTAGCGATTTAACGACTGTCAATTTTTCTCCCGTACGTCATCGACGGATACGATTTAATGAAGTTTAAATCTCGAGGACTTACAACATTTTCATTGCAGTGATAATGTTTATTTCAAATTACTTGGAGATATCGATAATTCCTTTGCTGCCTTAAAAGAACTCAACTTTTATCGTGGCCTACGATAAGTATCGCTAATCTTCATTCGGTCAGAAGCGGAGTTGGTAAATCGAGATAAAAATTTTTGCGAAAGAAATAAGATTACGTTTCGCCTCGCCAAACAACTTCTCTCGCAAACACACGTTCCCACGTTCTGCTCCGCGAATAAATAAACGATCGGTTTTTACCTCCGTTTCGCATCCGGCGCGCATCTAAATATTAATCCGAGTTACGTGGCAATCATCAATCTACGTTGACGTAGCTCTGCTGTTACGGCAGAAGACAAATATTCTGCATGCACATCCGCGTACTACTCTTCAATTTTTCATAAAGGCGCTCCCGTTCTTCGCATTCCCGATTTAGAAGCGAAACGAGGGGGCAGAAATACGCGAATGCATACAAATAAATCGACCTCCACCCCGGTGAAAAATTTTCTCAGAATTTCTCGTCTGATTCTTTTTATATAATTTTTTAGAAAATTTTTCAGATTTTTTATACAAATTGGTACACTTATCAAAAATGCCGAGAAAGTTTGTATTTTTTTTTCAATTTTCACGTGTATGAATTCTGAAATATTTCGAGATTTCTCAGTCTATAATTTCAGCCGTAATCTTATAAGATTTGACAAAGATTTCTAAGTATTTTTCAGAAATTATGAATGAGAAATCTTAGAAATAGAATATTTCAGAATATCCAAATAAATGAAAAATTCCAAGAAAAGAAGTGGACTTTCTCAGTATTTCTGAAAAAGTGTACCAATTCATATAAAAGTTCCGAGAAAAACTTTCACCAGGGTACTCTGCCAGAAATAATTCTACAAAATTCTACAAAAAAAATTAAATATAACTGCCAGAATCTAAGAAATTCTACGTAAATTTAAAAAGTATTATAAAAATCAACATGAAAATGCTAGAATTGGAACACTTTTGTTAATTTTTGTAATATTCTACAAGCAAGCAGATGTTTTAATTCTTTAAGATTTTGTTTCTCAAATTTTTTAAACTAGCAAAGTTTTGCACTAATTTTTACAAAATTGTACATTTTTATGAAATTCTACTTGCAATAATTTCCTGATTTGAGAATATTGTAATTTGTGGTACTGTTTCGTATTTTTACAAAAAAATTAATGTTTCAACAAAGATATAAGTTGGAGTGGGGTAAAACCGACCCAGAAATTGTAAAGTTTACTTTAAACTGATGTATTTTCTATCTATTCCACTAAAACCTAATAATCTTTGTGTTTTTATTTAGCGCATGGTTTATTCTTTAAGTTGCATTAATTTGGATTAAAAATAACTTCTGAAACTTATGATTTTCTTAATAAATTAAAAACAGTGCTGCTAGGGCGGACTTGCCCCGAAACTGGGGCAAAACTGCACCTATACCTGTTTAAAAATTATTGAATCTTATTTCCTTATATTATGGGGCAAAAGGAATTATTATGGAAACACCATGAACTTTCTCGAACGAGTTAAACGGGGGAATCACAGAATACATGGCGGCCACCTATGTTGATCATTGAATACTAACCAAAGGAAGATTTCTACCTTACAGTTGGTACAATGCAACGTATATTCGAATAAATAAGGGCCTAGTGCGGATTTGCCCCGTGTACGGATTTACCCCACTGCACCTTACAAATTTCTATTTCAAGTCAATTTTTTGTAGTTATTTATAGAAATTTTTTCCGCTAGGCTAATGAAACTTAGCGTTGAAATTTCGAAACGAAGGTACTTTGCGGCGATTCGCTCACCGCGTTTCAGCGACGACAATGCAAATCCCGCAAAATGAGACACTGATGCTTTCAGGAATCGATATCGCAGCACTTTTTATCTCTCAAGTGCCGATAGCGTGTAACGATAGCAAGATACACGTCAGCTAAGGTCTTCCTTTACGTACTTCGGTAGTCTCTTTTTACGTAAATGTCGTAATTTCGTCTCGCGGTCGTACCTCGGAGAACGGGAGTTCTCTCCTTGTGCGCTTTTAAATAAGAACAAACCTGCAGAAACGACGAAGGACTCTCGATCAGCTCGCCGATAAGTCATAACGCGTCAGTCCGACAGCTCGACATTCCGAATCGAGATACCAAATCTTAAAAAACATGCATGCTCATCCGAATGAAACGTGACTGGGATGCCAATAACGGCCACTTAATTTATTTTTCCTCCTCTGCTTTTTTTCCGCCTGCGCGAGCATATTTGAGAAAAAATGTGAGAAACGGGAGTGGTATTCTGTTTCTGCTGGTATTACTCATATTTTATCCGATAAGCCGTGGAGAAGAATTTATTCGCTGAAACGATAATCTCTCGGCTGCAAACCGATATCTCATTATCTCGACGTCTTTCGCTTTGCATTAATCACAATGATAGAAATATGTGACGCACAAACAAGGGCATCCGCAAGATTTGTTCCGGGCGAGGGGGGGGAGGTGATTCAATACATTACTTCCAGAGAATTGAAATACTTATAAATTCAGATTTGTACACTTTTTGATAATAAAAGTTTTCTCACCACTGCACGGAAAGAAATATGTAGCTGCCGTAGCTAAAACCTGCATATGGCAATTAAATTTCAGTTGTAAAATATGGATAGCTATTATTTTGTTGTTAAGTTAATAAGCTATTAGGAGCCACCTAATGAATAATTTTCTTGAGTAAAGTAATATTTTTTTGGATTAAGATATTTTTTTATCAGTGTATAAACAGTAGGGGCATCTACATTGTTTTGTGTTGCAACATTCACGAAGTTTGCTGCACGAAACGCATATAGTTGTCTCCACCATTTATCGTACAAAGATATATAACTGTCCCAAATATTACCATTTATTGGGGTTGTGGCCCACCCTAATTAGACATGCGACAACCATATCGGTCTCTCCGTGAAGGAGATGAACGGAAACGCGCGGAAAAGTACGCCGCGTTCTCGCGTGGCTCCCACGTGGGGCGTGGACACGTCGCGCGCAAGGTATGCGTTATGTCAAACACTCCGGAATGCCTCTGGAATCTGGATGAATCAATTAACACCGCGGAGGCGTTCCGCGAAATGTTTGCGCAGACGTTGAGATCAGACGATCGCACGTTTTTCGACCTAAATTGAGCGACGTCGCCTTCGGTATCGGCGCCGTACCTGGGCAAGAACAACGGGTCCGTTTGAGAGGGCACGACGCGACGCCGCGCGCGGCCGTGAGGTCGTCTCGCGTGGGAGTCGCGGGAGGTCGATGATTCCGGCTGAATCACGGACGTCCTTGCAGTTCTCCGTGGCTCACCTTCCAGACCAAGCGTTGTCCCCGAAGGCGCGGTTGATCGTCGCGTATAAATAAAAAATCACTCACCGGAACGCCGCGCGTTGCGAAAGGCGCTCTCGTCTCCGTTTCCGACCTGGATGTGTCGCGGAAAGGACGCGGCGATTCGCGGCGCGCGCCGCGAAGGAATTTACATCGGGGTCTCTAAGGCCCAGTTTCACCAACGTCGTATAACTTTGAGCTTGGTTTAATTCGTGTTTGTCTCTTTCTAAATTAACAGTTAGAGAGAGAGACAAAGAACGAATTGACCTAAGCTTAAAGTTAAGCGACGTTGGTGAAACTGGGCCTAAGGCCCGGTTTCACCAAACGTTTAACTTTATTCTTGGTTTAATTTACGTTTGTTTCTTTCTAAAGTAACAGTTTGAAAGAGACAAGGAACGAATGAAGCTAAGCTTAAAGTTAAACAACGTTGCTGAAACCGGGCCTTAGACCCAGTTTCACCAAACGTTTAACTGTATTCTTGGTTTAATTTACGTTTGTTTCTTTCTAAAGTAACAGTTTGAAAGAGACAAGGAACGAATGAAGCTAAGCTTAAAGTTAAACAACGTTGGTGAAACCGGGCCTTAGGCCCAGTTTCACCAAACGTCGCTTAACTTTAATCTTGGTTTAATTCATGTTTGTCTCTTTCTAAAGTAACAGTTCAAGAACGAATTGAGCTACGTTTAAAGTTAAACAATGTTGGTGAAACCGGGCATTAATTGTACCTTCGTGGTACCAAAATCCTGGGCCGGCTCGTTACGCGAGCACGCAGGTCGTATCCTCGCGGAAACTCACGTTTATCTCGCGAGAGACTCGATCGAGTCCGTACTTTCGAGTTGTAAATCACTGCAATGTTTATAGTACCAAGTAGGAAAAGGCGGCGCTGTTTGACTCGATTAAAGAAAATATGTGATAAAAATTATGACAGGAGGAACTTTTTAAGTTTTCAGAAAACGGCTTTTTGCCTTGAAATTTTTTATCCGAATTTTTCTTAAAGTCGAGTCAAGCAGCTCCGCTTTACCCTATAATTTTATTACACGGTCATTCACATTTGCGCGCGCGAGAGATACGACTCGATAAACGCGCGATTATGATAAAATAATACCGACCTTAATTTTGCGGCGTGTAATTTATAATATAATAGAATATGTCATGGTCAACATGTACGCTCACACGCTACGTGTCTCATATGAATTGTGTACTTAAAAAGAAGATATCGGCTATTTTTCCCGCAATGGCAATGCGTATAAAATACGAAGTTGAAAATTAAGGACGTTTATTTGCGTCTATTGTGATGTATGTCGCATACCTCGTATCTACGAAGGGAAATTATTATTGTACGACTGTATAATCAGATATTCAAAGGTTATTGCACAAGAGTCAACGTCGCTTTAGGAGTAAAAGGATTGTCCTGGTTATTGAAAGCTCTAACCAATTTTTGGCACACGTTTAATAGCTAGATGTTAGCGAGTTAACATAAAAAAATCTAAAATTTAAGTTCAAATATAAAAATCTTTATATATCTCAAAACAAGAGAAAGCAGAAGGTATTAAAAGAAAGGCAAATAGATATGAAACTTGATGCAATCAAAGTCCATTGCAAAATAACACAGGGGCATATTTTTTCCGCACGATTATGCATACATGGATCATGTGCCTGTGTATATATATGTGTGTGTGTGTGTACATACGAGTTATTTAATTTTAAATTCACGTAATCTCTTGTCTTATTATTGACATTATAGAAGCGTCGCATACACAATACGCTTACCAATTAATGCTCGTTAATCCATGTTTACAAAGATCGGACGCAACATCGCAATATAATATTTTATATATTTTACAAAATAATAAAGATCTCAACAATAGCAGTGGAATATTATCATCTCAATTAGGCGCAAAAATTGAAGGCATTGAACGTGAAAGTAGAGTCCAATCGTTTCTATCGCAACATTTATTTCCGTACTGTACAAAGAACTGCTTAGTCTTTATTCGTATGCTATTTCGATTATTACATGCCATGTAGTAAATGCAACATTGTAAAGATAAGAAAGTGTAGTAATTTACACAAGTTTTTGGAAGATATCGATGTATTTCAACAAGTTAGCTAAAAGTGGATAATTATCTTAAAGGATAACTTAAATATTTACGATTCTATATTTATTGCACATCAGTGCCATGCCAGACTTAAATCCTATATAGAAACATTAATCTACTTTTGTTCCAGTGTCTTCAATTCTTGGCAATAAATTCCCCCTTTCCCCTCTTCTCGCAGTTTCTTTACGAAACTTTACGAAACTCACACATATAGAAATGTACCTACGCGCGTGTTTATTCTGTATCTGTGTGTGTGTGTGTACATGTATATGTATCTTGCATGTATATAATATGTATGTGTATGTATATATGTATATATATATGTATGTATATCTCTTAGATATTTAACAAACTTTATGATCTAGATTACACGTGAAGTTTAGGTAAGATCCTTTCCGAAAATATTTAATGAGTCCGCAGATACGCTATAGCTGCTATATATCTGTATTTCATGTATAGTGGACACAATCAAAGTATTCCTCCGCCCAGTGTATGTTCAACATAACTGCGATGCGTAATAGGAATCAATAATTGCAAAATATAGACACTCGTTCAGCATTATGTCAGGATCCTCAAGATCTCCTCTCCAATTCCCGACAGTAATGAGTTATTGTCACCTTTGCCTTCAATTACTAGATTTTCCGTCACTCTCTGTAACATAGGAAGCCGTCGAAGTCTGATATACGTGTTCCACTAAGCTTAAAAATTTTTTATCTTTATGCAGGTTAAATTAACGCAAACGTAAAATATTGAGATGCATATTTTGACTTGACGCTACGTCGATTAAATTTTTAAATTTTCATCAAATTATTTACTGTAAAGTAAATCGACACAATTTGACTTACGTTATATTTTAACAAAAGGCACACATGATGTCCCTTCAGAGAATGTCCATATAAAGATGCGGTATCGTCAATTTGTTCTACGAGTGTGAGATTGCACTTGCGGCAGATATCATTTAGAACCGCATCAAAGTCCTTAGAAGGAGTTATTTCTCTTCTAATCTTAGACACTAATTGACCACTTTTGAGAAGTTCCGTAAGTATGTCCTTGTGAGAGAGATGCCCGACCATGAAATTGCTACATGACAAGGGCACGGTGAAGTCGAGCTTCTCTTGTTGCGTGCCTTCTGCACCTTCGTACATGTATGTCAGCGTACCCCTCAGTCTCTGAGCAAACGTCACGTCTGAGATTAGAACGATGAACTCAGTTTCTTTACTAGATTGCAGAGGCAGTTGGAACGGCAGTTTTATTCCAAATTCGTCTCCAGTCTGCGAGAACACGAAATAATACAATGTAAATTTTTGCAAATTAAAGCGCAAGCTTCAAATATTCAAGTGAGCATTGACTTACATTCCTAACTAATTTGAGTGATGATGTGTCTGGAACGTCAAATACTAATTCTTTTACAAGCGGCTGACTTATATTTGTAATGCAAATTGATACGATAACTTTACTTGAGTCATGGGGGATTTGTCTCAGCTCGTACCTCATGGAAATGACTTTATTTTTCGCTAATTCTTCGTAGGGGTCTTGCTGTACAGTAATTGCATTATATTCGGAATTCATAATATCGTTTTTTAATTCTGGTAATATCTCTTTCGACGGAGTAGATATCCCAGCTGTTTCCTCATAATCCAACGACTTATTCTCCTTCTTACTTTTCGACTTTTTTGATTTTCTATGTTTCGCGTCTTCTTCGTTGGATTTCTTATGTCTGTTTTGACTCTTCGACTTCTTACGTTTGCCATCTTTCTGTGATTCACTGGATACTTCTATGTATTCTCCTATTGCAGGAGATTGCACTTTCTCAGGGGATGAACTAGTTTCCAACCACAAGTCAGATGACTCCTTTTCGTCATTTACCTTGTTTTCCACGACATTCTTGACTTTTCTTTTAGATTTCTTACGACCCTATCAATACAGAGAGCAAATTATTGAAAAACACCTTTTAAAATATGTGAATGAATTATAAATAAATTCAAATTATGTTACATCACTTATATACTGATATAAAGTCAAACTTACCTTTTCCTTTTTATTTTCCTTTTCTTCAACTTTCTTCGTTATTGCATTTTCAATAACTCTATGTTCTAAGACAGGCAATCTTTCATCTTCTCGTAAAGGCATGTCCAAATCGATATTCAATGCTCTATGTGGATCATTTGCATCTACCAAATCATACTCATCACTATCACTTATCTGTGCGCCCGGAGGTAGCTCCCCAATTCCAGTATTTACTACTTGCAATGGTAAGCTATCATCCTTTTCATCCTCTTCGGACGCAGATTTCTTATCTGAAAGCATTCAATGTTAAGAATCTCAAATGTCTAACAGCATGCCTAATATAATGTACGATCCGTATACGCAACAATTACTTTTATTTTTCTTCGATTTCTTCTTCTTTTCGTGCTTTTTATGTCTTTTGTTGCTGCTATCTACATTGCGACATCTGTGCGAGTTAGAAATCTTTAAAGAAATTGGGATGTCCAATTCCGCGACAGGAATGTTTTCAAAGTCTTCGTATACGTTTGATGAATTATGATATGATGTAGGAGTCTTAAATGAGCCTTTCAAATAATGTGGGTTATTTTCCTGTTCTAGTTTCCTCGCTTCACGTCTCCTCTCAAGCTCTTCCAGGGACGGTTCGCTTAAATCCCGTTTGGAAAATGAATTAGTCGGTTTTTCCGTCTTAATAAAAATATCATTCATATCTAAATCCTCCGAGTCCGAGCTCTCCGAAGGTGGATCGTTGATCCAGGAATCCAAATCTAAATTCTCAGGTATTGGAACCTGAAAGATACCATGAAATTTTTATGACAAAACTTATAAATAATTTGCATCACACATATGTCAGCTAATATATATATATATTTTTACTCTTAATTTAACAAAATAATATGTTTAAGTAGCTAATACACATATACACGACACTACTAATTGACACTTACTTTTCTTTGAGCCTTTGGCGCAACCGGATTAAGTTCACCTTCGAAAGTCTTTATTAATTCCTGTGCAAGACCAGGATTTTCTTTTAAACATTCAAGTAGTACTAACGCGGAACTTGATCTTTCCTGAACTTCCAGATCGCCGCTACAGACAAAAGTTGCTATTTTGTCCTTCAGTCCACAAATCTGTAAAGTGAAATCTAATATTAGACCTAGAGATTTCACTTTAATTTAATGCAAAAATATTTATTTTAAAATATCTCGATCTACATGCACGCTCTGCTGTGCCATAAAGTTTCATTATTATTGTATAACAATAATTGATTATTTTTATGTTTTACCTTTTCCATAGTTTCAGTATTTTCCTCTTTCTCTGCTTTGGCGAATGTCGATGCAGCCAGTTTTAATATATTATGAACATAAACAGCCTGTATATGTCCTGGCAAACTAGAAGCTTGCGATCGCAACAGAGACTGCAATGTTGCTAAAGGATCTTCTAATTCACTATTGATGTAACAGATCATTGAATATACCATCCTACATTAATTAGATTAACAATGCCGCATAAGAAATTCTTATTACCTAGAGAATTCTCCACAAATCCATGCTGCTGCATATAAGACCTCGGACATCGTTGCCCTCGGCTGGCCGGTTAAAAGATATGAATTCTCAAGCAGTAAGGCACATTGTTGAACCGCATATTTTCGGATAGCTTGTACACGAATTGTAACATCAAGTAATTGAGTTGCTACTAATGGTCCGTGCTTGGTGCCTTCCATTCGCGTAAGTTCCACCAATACAGATATGTACCTACGAGCGTGTACGAAATTTTCTATAATCCGTTCTGGAGAATGGATTTATATGGAAAGAAAAAGAAATCTTATATTTACCACTCAAAGTAGGTAATGAAGTGATAGTTATTCTGTGAGCAAATTTGAATAATCTTCGAGAGCAATTCGTCGCGATACATAGTGCCTTCGGCTTTGTCCATATGCACCATCAGCTTCTTAACTATCTCCATTAGGTTCTTCTTGGAAACCATTCCGTACAACAAATCCAAGGCACGCAGTCTTATAGTTTCGTCTTTATCGTCAAGACACTGCATAATTAGATCCTTGTGCGATTGCACGCTCTTCGGGTGATTCCTCAATATTTTCGACATCGCCAGCAATCCCAGATACTTCAGGTTTTGGTCGGAGTCCTCTATTAATATTCTCAATTTCTGAACGCACAGCTGTATCGAATCGGAGTGGCTCGGCATGCCGGACGATATAGAAATCAATACAGCGATTACCGTATTGATGCATTCGTACAATAGGGACATCGCGGATGTACTAGAAACGATTGGAATTATGTTGTAAATTATAACGGAGAATGGGATTTATTCGCAGTCGTAAAAGGAATACATTAATAAAACACTACGCGCGCTACATAAATGAGTTAGACGGAGCTAAGCGATGTAAAACTAGGGGCGCTTTCCAACAAGAGACACGATTGATACGGCGCAACACGGTGAATCGTTTCACTGTTTAACATTAACAGCCACGGCAAACAACAAGGATGGTGTGAGCCACTGTGTCGTAATGTGTCACTTGTGTCCCTTGGGCCCGGTTTCACCAAACGTTGTTTAACTTTAATCTTAGTTTAATTCACGTTCGTCTCTTTCTAGAGTAACAGTTGGAAAGAGACAAAAAACGAATGAAGCTAAGCTTGAAGTTGAGCGACGTCGGTGAAACCGGGTCGTAGTGAAAAGCGCTCTGGACGAGCAATGATGAACTTTACAGGCGCGATAATTAATAGATACTTTAGAGTAAAATACCTGTGTATCAAATTGGTAAGGGGTTCTATTAGCTTTCTGCCAAGCCTAGGTTCTAGAGGTGTCAACGCTCCAAACTGGAAATATAACGTTATGTTGCCTCTAAGATGTACTCGTTAAATTATTTTTTATATACGGAGGAGTATCTCAATTCTTATTTCATGAACGAATGAAGATAAAATCGCACTATATGCAAAACACAATATGATGATTCTACAAAATACATTCTGATACTGACGTATACCTGCTACCGAATATAACATATTACAGTTACTACAAATAAGCCTACAATTGTACTATAATATTTTTAAAAAATGAGCATTGCACAAAACCTTGAAATCAGATCAATTAATGGTTGAGTAAGTCGCCGACCCAGCTTTGGCTCGATCAGAGTTATAGTCGAGAACTGAGTGTGAGAAACAAAGTCAACGTAGCTTACAACAAGAAAAAGGTGTGTATGCATAAAATTTAATATTATTAGAAAAATAGTCACGAATATACGATTTTATGTCCATAAGAAATAAAAGGGATGCCGCTTGTCTCCTAGAAATCTAAAGCAACGATAACACTCACCAATTTGATAATTTTGATAAGCATCCAATTATTCGTGGAAGTCGTCATCAGCTTAAAGAAAACGGGGGCTAGGCTCAGATAGTTCTTCGGGTTCTTTCTGGCCAGTTCGCACACTACGTTTACCGCCGCACTTTGAACACCGCTGTCGGGATCCTCGAGCTTTTCCTTTAACCTGGGGAAAGCGGGCCTCAGGGCCTCGGGGAATCGCAGGAATACTTTATACATCATCAAAACCGCTTTCTTGCGCAAGTACGGCTTTGTAGAGGTCAACAGTGTCATTATATCGTGAACCAGGTCGCGTGCTAAATCCGGACTTATAAAGCAAGACAGTCCGCTCAGCGCTAAACCAGCGTCGTACTGATTTTGGCTATTTAAATCCTTACGAATCATATTCGTTGTTAGCATCAATAGCTGTTGGCAAAAAGAAACATCAGTAAATTAACGAGGTAATCATTTTTCTCAGCAATTTGCTGAGTATTGCATACCATACACATACATGTATGAATATACACAATTTTCACGTGAATATTATTTATTGTATCTCTTTTTACTTGAGGCGTTTCATTTCAGATTTAACTTGTAGTAAAAATTCAGATAATACTAAGGGAATAAACTTGAAATAAAAAACAATTGACCAAGTATATACAGGCTTGAAAAATCCACACACGGAATTTTTTCTTGAAATTTACCCTAAAAATCATGTAATCGTGGGACGTGGGATTTTAAAGATCTTTATGAGAGTTTTAAATGCCACGAAAATTTAGATAATATTAAGAGAATAAAATTGTAATAAAAACAGAAATTGACCAAGTATAAACAGACCTGAAAAATCCACGCGGAATTTTTTCTCAAAATTTACCCTGTAATCATGTAATCGTGGGACAACAAGGTATTTCGAGGAATTTCAAAATACATGGAATTTTTTCTTGAAATTTGCCCCGAAAATCGTGTAATCGTGGGACAACGTGGCATTTTAAAGATCTTTATGAAAGTTTTTTGAAATTTCACCATACATTTTACTAGCCAAATTTCCAAAAACTCTCATAAAGATCTTCAAAATACCACGTTGTCCCAGGATTACATGATTTTCGGAGTAAATTTCAAGAGAAAATTCTTTCCCCGTTGTGAGGTATCCGAGACTCGGCGTGAACTTTACCTCTGTGTCCGCGTGAAAGCTCTGGCTGGCAGCGAGATAGCCGATTCGCTTGTGAGTGAACTTCGTCGACGACATCACCTCGATTATGTTAAAGCCGGCCCAGCTGATGTCGTATCCCAACATCTGGAGCTGAAGACACGGGGACAGATCAGCCGTCGATACTCGGAGCAAATTGAATAAAATTGAATGAAGTTAACTCGCGGCGAAACCGATCGATACGAATCGCGTCACGTCGACCGTCGGCGTCGAAATAAAGTCTTACATATGCCGGGAAGGCTTACATATGTCAGCTTGGCCACGGCGTTGGCTTTGACCGCCACATTGTCCTGCCGCAACTCCTGCTTGATCTCCTCGATGCAGTGCGCGATGTACTTCGCCTGGTTACAGAAAAGAGGAGTAAAGTAACCCTCGCGCTCAACGGGTCCGTTGCAAAACGGGACAGAGGGAGGGGAGTGAGGTTAGGTTCCCGGGCGGAGATCTCGGGCAGCGGGGAAGCCGCGGCGCGGGGCGCGCGCACGAACGCGGGGATCACCTCGTTCTCCTTGTTGTTCCTGATCCCGCGCACCAGATCCGTCAGGTTCTTGTCGAACATCCGCTCGAAGTTCCCCTTCACCTTGCGGAGTGCCATGGTCGCATTTAAAAGGAGGCTGCTAAACGCTCGCGACACCGCTCAGGGGACCCTCTCGTCCTCGGCGCATCGGCCGTACGTCTCGACCGGACAGCACGTGGCCCTACGATGCCATCACAGTTAATCGAAATCCGTAAGTCGCGATCCGCCGTCCCGCAATCACATTTTTTGACAGACTGGCGGAGAAAAAGGGAGTGAGAGAGAGAGAGAGGGAGGGGGAAAAGAGAGAGCTGGAGAGAGCTGCTCCGGGTATCATACCTAAGAAATGTCAAGAGGGCGGGCAAACACGGCCTATCTTGACGTGTGTCCTCTCCCGTTGAGTATGTAACTCCATCAAGTGCGTTCGACCGTCGCAATTTGTTCCGGAAATGCGATTCTCACGAACCTACTTTCTGACGCGCGCGACGCGGAATCTAACCCGGGGTGCTTTCGCGACGTAGAGTAAAATGATCCGGATCAAAATGATCCGTGCTATGATTGGTCAAATCTGAAATTTCGTAGCATCTCATTGAAATTTTATTCAATGAAATTTCAGATTTGACCAATCATAGCACGGATCATTTTGATCCGGATCATTTCACTCTACGTCGCGAAAGCACCCCTGAGTAAACATAAAGCCCGTATCAGACTACAGATTGGAATTGGGATTAGATTGAAATTTAACCAATCACGGTAAAGTTTACTAATCTCAAGTTCAGTAAAGCCCGTATCAGACTACGGATTGGGATTGGGATTAGATTGAAATTTAACCAATCACAGTAAAGTTTACTAATTTCAAGTTCAGTAACTTTTACTCTGATTGGTCAAATTTCAATCTAATCCCAATCTCAATCCGTAGTCTGATACGGGCTTAACTTTTACTCTGATTAGTCAAATTTCAATCTAATCCCAATCTCAATCCGTAGTCTGATACGGGCTTAAGGCTGGGTTTACATAGGATGTAGTAAGTCGTGTTGGAAGAAATTGACCAATCACAGTCTATTATTCTCCTTAGGCTGGGTCTACATTGGATGTCGTAAGTCGTGTCGGAAGAAATTGACCAATCACAGTTCATTATTCTCCTTACGGTCGAAGAATAATGAATTGTGATTGGTCAATTTCTTCCGACACGACTTACTACATCCTATGTAGACCCAGCCTAAGGAGAATAATGAACTGTGATTGGTCAATTTCTTCCAACACGACTTACTACATCCTATGTAGACCCAGCCTTAATATTACATTTGTTGTTATGTTGTAAAATTCGTGAATTCAGTCTGACTAATGGCTTCTGCCCACTGGACGCGGTAAAGGCCTTCACACATAAAATTCCGTAAGGACG